CACAATCCACACTTTTTCTTGTAGTGCCACCACCGTTTTCGTCGATGATCACTGTTATATTTGATATATTTTTCTTTACTGTTATATTTGATTATTTTCTCACTATTGTAACATGATTTGCAGAGGCTAAGAGCATGTCCATTGGTAAAGAATCTCTCATTAGTATAATACTGTTTTTTTAATATAAATAAATCATATTATTTAATTTCAAAAAATTGAACCACTCATAAATGCACATGTGTAAGTGTAGTATTTAATACTCTTAAAAAAGTTTTTCAAACAACAGTTTTGAGACTTGGTGGAAAGTACAAGAACGTGTTGCATAAAACGACGGTGGATAAGGAGAGAATAAAAATGTCTTGGCCGGTTCTGGTGATCCCTGCCAACGATATGGTCGTCGGACCTTTCCCGGAGCTTACTGGTCAAGACGATCCTCCCAAATTTAAGGCCATCGCCTACAAGGACTACATATACCGCAAGCTTCGCAAATTATCCTTGGTTGATCCCGACTCATAGTAAAAAAATCTTGAAGCAATCATCATCAATTGCTTTCTTGTAGCTAGTATTCCTTTTTTTTTGTTGATTTACTGCCGACATATAATCCAAACTGAGGCAGGTGGTTGCTTTCATTTTTAATAATGTATTTGCATGTTGCACCCATATCAAAAGAAAAGTAAGTACAATTAGAAAATAGAAAAAGAGTTCTGACCCTCTTTTTTTATAAAGAAATCGAAAGCATTCATGAAAGCTCTTCTTCTTATTTATAAACCTTTAAACCCGATACTATTTCCTTTTGCATACATAAACTTCTTTGTAGGAAATAAATTTTACAGTAGTAAACACACAAGACGGATAATTTTGACGTGTAAATAAACTTTGATTATTATTTGGATTAATCGAGTGGAAACCTGGAAAGCCTACGGTACTTGAAGTCTTTGCACATAATAGGCTTGAACAATGAAGGATTAGCGCCGGAAATGAGCTCCGGCAATGGTCCGAGGACCACATCAGGATTAGCGTTGACAAAAACCGGCCACGACGTCCTCTGCTTTTCTTTATCCACCGTCACTCTATGCATCACATTCTTGTACTTCCCATTGCTAAGCCTCTACAAAATCAACCAAAATACTTTCAAAAAAGAAAAATCTAGTGATCTTGTTTTTGCAAAAAAGATATAAAAAGATAACGTAGACGGTAAGAATATGATCTTGTTGTTTAGGAATTTGTTGGACATTGAACCAGTGGTCATCTTTGAAAATCTGAAGCCCTGGAACTTCATTAGTGACGATGAGTGCCGTTGCGATGACATCAGTGTGCTCATGTAGTCCCAAGTTCGCATCCGGTTGTGGATTAGGTGGGAAATTGTTGATCCTCATCAGTTGAAAAATTAAATTTGTAAAAACCAAAATTCAAAAAAATTCAAAAAAAAAAATCAAAAACAACAAAATAATTCCAAAAAAATTTAAATTTACAAAAATACATAATTTGAAGGTTAATATAAATCTTTAATTATATTTTAAATTTAATTTCGGAAACCATCCTAGATTAATATAAATATTTCCAAAAAAACTTAAATTTACAATTCATCTTATATTACACTTGCAATTTAAAATTTCAAAATTAATGTTCGGATATTACCAAAAGCAGCATTAAAATTATTTCCCATATAAAAAATGTAGAATATGTCGTTTATGTATTGCATTCTAAATTTTGTTAATTTTTCGTAACAAATATATTGATTTCAAAATATATAATTTTGGAACTCTATACACCTTATATTTTTAATTATTTTTTAGAGATTAATAAATTTTGTAATTTTAGAAACTTTGGGTTTTACAAATTAAATTTTTCTATAAAATTAAAACTAAAACTTTAATTTTTATTTTTATTTAAAATTTAATTATTATTTTTTTCTTAAGTTTTTCTAGATTTTATTTTGATTTGTTAAGTTTTGTATGTTTTTTAATTTTTTGGATTTTTTTTATAAATTGTTATCATGTATTACATAATAATCTGTGTATTTCAGAGCACATTTCTATATTTGAAATGGTTTGCAATATATTAGTCAATATTTGGTGTAGATAATAGTGA